TATATATATTCCGGCTTAAACTTTCTTCTTTAGAGTTAACTAGTTATTCTCTTTTTTTCCCTTCCTATATAAGTCCTTGATTTGGGGGGTGTGGGGGTTATTTCTGTTTGGATAATTATGTACTGTTGCAAAAAAGTACAGGGAAACACATTTATTTACGCGTACAATAAAACAAAAAAGAAAAAGGAAAGACATGAGCAAGGTGAAATGATTTGGATTCTTTAACTTGGGCTAGAAAGCCTTCTTCCCATCAATGTTTGCTAAGGCTGGATAAGATCATATAATTTTGGTATATCTTTATGTTGTATACAAAAAAATATATAAATGTTATACGTTTTTGTGACTATCGGATATAAATAATTTCGACCACGGACTAGAAGTGATCTTTGCCCTAATTTCTTCATGTTTGCCAATTAAACACTATGGACACATGAAAGATTGATTTCATAGTCATTAAATTTTTTTTTTTGTAATAAAAAATTAGTCAACTTTAAGTATCACGAAAGTTACTAGACTATATTTATAACGAAAAAAATCACTCAATTTTTCCACAGTAAATCATTAAAAGAAAACAAAAGAGACATTTTATATGACACTCAGATAAAGTTGAGTGACGTTTTGGTTAAGAAAAAAGATTGTGACTTGACGCATTCTTAGGCAACGGTGACTATTTGTGATATTTGAAAAAAGTTAAATAATATTTAAGTTCCAAAATATAGTTTATAAATTTTAATTGCAATTAAAATGAAAGTTTAGTGATCATTTAAGGAAAGATAAATAAAAACAAGATGAAGTATGAATGTGATGACCCGATAGGTCATTTTGAGTTTTAGTCTTTATTTTCTCGATTTACGTGCACAGTCCGTATTTTTTTCCGGAAAATTTCTATGTGAAAATTGAAAAAAATATGAATTTTTGTCTTAAAAATAATTTGAGTTGACTACGGTCAATATTTTGTGTAAACGGACTAGGATCAGTATTTTGATAGTCCCGATGAGTCCATATCGTGATTTGGGACTTGGGCGTATGCTCGAAATCGAATTCGGAAGTCCCTAGCTTGCTTTATCGTGATTTGTTGAAAACTAGGAATTTGAATGTTTAAAGAATTCCTAAGTTTGACCGTGGGTTGACTTTATTGTTATCGGGTTCGGATTTTGGTTTTGTAACTTGGCATAGGTTTATTTTTTTATTTACTACTTGTCTGCAAAATTTGATGTAAAACGGATTTGATTTGACATAATTTGGACGCTCGGTTGTAAATTTGAAAGTTCTTAAGTTTCATTAAAAATTCCATATATTTTAATGTCCGATTTGTAGTTCTAGATGTTGTTTTGGTGTTTTGATCGCGCGAGTGAGTTCGTATGATGTTATTACACTTGTGTGCATATTTGATTTGGAGTCCGAGGGGCTCGGTTGAGTTTCGGACATGTTTCAGATGAGTTTTGCTAATGAAAAGTCTGCAGGTGCAACACCAGTGCTGGTGCTTTGTTGCATACACTACTACAAAAAGGGCATTTAGCGGTAATTATTTAGCGGCAATAAGTCAATTGCCGCTAATAGATTCTATAAGCTAAAATATTAGCGCAAATGACCATTAGCCAGTAAAAATATCCTTTTACCGATAATAAAAATAAATTGCCATTAAAAGTTACTAATTGACTTTTAGCGAATAAGTTTTTCTTTTATTTTAACTTTTCCTCCTTGCCCAAAAAATAAATCTTTCCCTCTAAATTTTTTGGACAAAGAATGAACGATTCCCTCCAATCAGAAAAAATAGGAAAACCTATTCCTTCATTGAACGGGATACGATTAACAGAATCTCACATATAGGTCCCCGCCTCCGGCGAGTTTTTATTCTTTCATTGAACGGAATACGGAAGAGACGCTAGATTAACAAAATCGCACATATAGGTCTCCGGCCAATTTTTTCCCTAGATAACTGCTCTTCTTCCCCAGGTATCTTCGTTTTTCACCCAGCAGTTGCGATTAACAGTGGAGTTAGGATTGTGCTGCTTGATTATGCTCTGTCGTTGTTAGTATTCTCTGTTTTATCCTTTTCCCACTTCTCTTTTCGTGTAGGTTTCAAGATCGTTGCAGAACTCATTCTTCTCCTTCAATTTCTTGTCTTTATCGGCAAAACAATCTGCTTACCAGGTACAAATTTGTGCCTTCAACTGTTGCGATTTGAGGTTTGCGAAAGTACAGTTTTTTCTGCATATGCGAGTCATTTGTGATATCCGACTGCTGTTAAATTGACGTGCGATGATTGGGTTTATTCCTCGTCTGTTCCTCGACTGTTTTATGATTTTGTTCCTCTGTTTTCTGCTATTCTTGTAATTATTCAGAAATTTTATAAGTGTCGCCGATACATATTGATGTTTTCATTGAATCTACCACTAGTCGAGATATGAATTCCTCTGTATGTTTATTGTTATTCTTGTCATTATTCAAAAATTTTAAGTGTCGTCAATGCATATTGATGTTTTCATTGAATCTACCATTAGTCGAGATGTATTCCTCTATATATTTTCTGTTATACTTCTCAAAAAGCTGCCAATCAAATGCAAAGGTGATGGTTCCTTTGATCTATATAAATGCTAAAAGTGGAATTGAGTATTGAAAGGAAGGAAAGATACATGTCTTACACAGTAAAGAACAACATTATAGTCTTAAGATCTAAACCTACAATCTGACAGCAGATCAGTATGCTAGACAACTTTAGTTATATTAGGTAAGTAAAAAATATTTGCGTCTGGAAAACTGAATAGTCATGGGTGAATCCACATAGATGTGATGCTTTTAATAACAAAACTCAGGTAAAATAAAATGATAGCATTGCCATTTGTAATAAAAAATGTTTCCCGCTATCTCACCTAACACTAAGAAGAAAACACGCAGGAAAGAGCAAAAGAAGTGAACCTTAGTAAACTAATAAATATGTTTAGATAAGTAAATTTCCAATGAAACAATGCCTGAGCTACATATGTCCTTTCATTGAAACATGCTTTGTGTGAGTCAGAACTTATATCTTAGGGACTATGCCAGGAGGGGACAAAAAACGCGCGCGCGCGTGTATCACTGTATATCACCAGAAAACTAAAGTAACAAATTAGATACTATAACTTATAAGCTTCGATTTTCCCTACCCACCCCAAAATAAGTAACAAATAACATAATAAAGCTTCCCTCCACCCTTCTTGCCCTTTCTCGAGTTGAGGGTTCTGTTCTTCAGAGATTGATGGTCTACGTAGTGTTTTCAAAATGTTGAATTTGGTACTATGCTTTAAGCCAAGTTGAAACTATATCTAATGGATAGATAAATCTAGATTATTACTTTTTGAGTTAGCAAACAATAAGAGAGTGTAGCAACCAACAACTTAAATTGCCAGTCTCATTTTACTAGCGTAGTGTGTGAGATGCACGTAAAAACTTTATGGCATTGGTTACATAATTGAACTCTCATGACTGAAGGTGTTTAAAGGGTATAGGATAGATTTAAATCTCGTAAAAGGAAGTGTCCTCAAATACTTGTAATCTCTGGGAGTTTATACTAAGCAAGCAAAAAGAATGCAATGGAAACAAAAAATCCACATACAGGGTTAAAGCTTAGTCGTGTCCGTCACTTACATGTTATGTAGGTTTCAATTTAATATACATGAGAAAGATAATTTTTTTTATAGAGGAATGATTCCCTTATTTGAGAACAACATTTGTGTACTATTCCCAATTTTGGGAGAGCATAATGATCAAATTCTAATATTTCACACAAATTGAAGTATATCATTGAGGTCTACGAGACCAGGAAAAAATTATGTATTAAAAAAATTATAATTTTAAACAAGATTAGTTGGGTCCCAAACTGGAAAATTGAATCGAGAAAATCAAACCGAGAAAAAAAAATTGAACAAAACAACTATTGTCGAATAACTGAGAAGAGATAGAAGAGAAGAATGAGATAAACGAGTATATCCAGAACTTTGTTGTTTGTTGTACAATAATCTTTGAGCTATGGAATTACACACAAATAGGATGGTTATTTTACGACATTTTGATTAATTCCCTCTTTTTACTAACGAATTTTTAGCTCTTGCAGTAAGTGTAGAAAAGAAAAGAATATCTTGAACGTCATGGACAATCCTAGAAATAAAAGATGGATGCATTGTGATAGAGTTAGTAAAGAATATTTGGATGGAGTAGATGATTTTATAAACCATGCCTTAACAAGATGGAGAACAAATTGCATGTCCTTGTATGAAGTGTGTGCTTATCCATCAAGTTAATCGGGTTACAACATATGATCATCTTGTGATTAATGGTAGTATGCCATCATATGATACTTGATTTTGTCATGGTGAGTCTTTAAAGGGATCAAGCAATGCTCAAACAAATAATCGAAGCCAGTCAACTCTAAAGGGCGATGATATGATAGGAATGATACATGATGCCTTTGGAGGCTTTACACAGTTCATGGATACTGACGTTAGTGAAAGGGGTGATGTAGATGATAACTTACAAGAGAATATTGCTTATCCATCTGAAAATCAACCTCATGTAGAGGTGGATAAGTTTGAACGGCTCATGAAGAAGGCAAATGAAGAACTATATCTAGGATGTAAAAAGTTTAGCAAACTGTACCTTTTGCTACATATGTATCGTACAAAATGCATATTCAAATAGTCAAATGAATCTTTAATGCTTTGTTTGGACTATTGAAGGATGCGTTGCCTGAAAGGGAAAAATTGCCTCCTTCTTTCTATGAGACCAAAAAGATAGTTGAATGCTTGGGCTTAAAGTATGAAAAAATCCATGCTTATCCCAACGATTGCATGCTTTTTTGGAAAGTGTTTGCTAATAAGAATGTCAATGAATGCAAAGTTTCACGACCCCATTATGCTATTCTAGATTGTCACGCCAAAACCGTGACGCTGGCTATGCCAGGTGTACTGCGTGTTGAGTGGAGGGGTGTTTTAGATCACACTCCCAGTAGAGTTATTTCTTTCCTTAAGGCTCATCGTATGGTTGGGAAGGGGTGTGATGCGTACCTAGCTTATGTGAGAGATGTCAGTATTGATACCCCTTCCGTTAATTCAGTCCCAGTAGTACGGGATTTTTCTGATGTGTTTCCAGCTGACCTTCCGGGCATGCCGTCCGATAGAGATATTGATTTTGACATTGATCTGTTGCCGAGCACTCAACTCATTTCTATTCCTCTACATCGTATGGCTCCCCCTGAGTTGAAGGAGTTGAAGGACCAATTACAGGAATTGCATGATAAGAGTTTTATTCGGACCAGTGTATCACCTTGGGGTGCTTCTGTCTTGTTTGTGAAGAAGAAGGATGGTTTTATGCGCATGTGCATTGATTATCGCCAGTTGAAAAAAGTTACAGTGAAGAAACGTTATCCTTTGCCTCGTATTGATGATTTATTTGACCAGCTACAAGGTGCACGAGTGTTTTCTAAGATGACTTGCATTCAGGGTATCATCAGTTGAAGATTCGGGAGCTAGATATCCCGAATACTGCCTTCAGGACTCGGTATGGTCATTACGAGTTCCTTGTTATGTCATTTGGGTTGACCAATGCTCCAACAGCCTTTATGCATTTTATGCACAATGTGTTTCGGCCATATCTTGACTCGTTCGTCATTGTCTTTATTGATGATAATCTGGTATACTCCCGGAGTTGGGAAGATCATAAGCAACACCTGAGGACAGTGCTTCAGACCTTGAGAGAAAAGAAGTTGTATGCTAAGTTCTCGAAATGTGAGTTTTGGTTGGATTCTGTGGTATTCTTAGGCCACGTGGTATCGAGTGAGGGTATTTAGGTGGATCCGAAGAAAGTAGAGGCAGTGTAGAGTTGACCCAGACCATCCTCAGCTACATAGATTCGTAGTTTTCTTGGCTTGGCGGGTTACTACCATCGTTTTGTGGAAGGGTTTTCATCGATTGCAGCCCCTATGACTAGGCTGACCCAGAAGGGTGCTCCGTTCCCGTGGACGGAAGAGTGTGAGGCGAGCTTTCAGAAGCTCAAGACAGTTTTGACTACATCTCCAATTTTGATATTGCCTACAGGTTCGGGGTCTTATACCGTCTATTGCGATGCCTCAAGCATTGGCTTTGGAGCGGTTTTGATGCAGGATGGTAGGGTGATTGCCTACGTGTCCAGACAGTTGAAGGTACATGAGAAGAATTATCCTATCCATGATCTCGAGTTAGCTGCCATTGTTCACGCCTTGAAGATCTGGCGTCATTATTTGTACGGTGTGCCTTGTGAGATTTATACTGAACATCGGAGCTTGCAATACCTGTTCAAGCAAAAGGATCTAAATTTACGCTAGAGGAGGTGGTTAGAGTTGCTGAAGGACTATGATATCACTATTTTGTATCACTCGAGCAAGGCCAATGTGGTGGCCGATGCTTTGAGTCGTCGGGCAGAGAGTTTGGGTAGTTTGGCTTATTTACCAGCATCGGATAGGCCTATGGCGATGGATGTTCAGGCCTTAGCCAACTAGTTTGTGAGATTGGATCTTTCGGAGCCCAGTCGGGTTCTAGCTTGCGTGGTTTCTCGGTCATCCTTATTTGATCGTATCAGGGAGCGTCAGTATGATGACCCTCATTTGGTTGTCCTCAAGGACAAGGTTCAGCATGGTGATGCCAGAGATGTGACTGTTGGTGATGACGGGGTATTAAGGATGCAGGGTCGGATTTGTGTACCCAATGTTGATGGGTTTCAGGAGTTGATTCTAGAGGAGGCCCATAGTTCGCGGTATTCCATTCATCCGGGTGTTGCGAAGATGTATCAGGATTTGAGACAAAACTATTGGTAGAGGTGGATGAAGAAAGATATAATTGGATTTGTAGCTCGGTGCCTCAACTGTCAGCAGGTGAAGTATGACCACCAGAGACCGAGTGGTTGCTTCAGCAGATAGAGATTCCAGAGTGGAAGTGGGAGCGGATCACCATGGACTTTGTAGTTGGGCTCCCACAGACTTTGATAAAGTTTGATATTGTTTGGGTGATTGTGGATCGGCTGACCAAGTCCGTGCACTTCATTCCTGTGTATACTACATATTTTTCGGAGCGTCTAACAGAGATTTATATCCGGGAGATTATTCGTTTGCATGGTATTCCATTTTCCATCATTTCAGATAGAGGTACTCAATTCACATTATGGTTCTGGAGGGCCTTCAGCATGAGTTGGGTACTCAGGTGGAGTTGAGTACAACATTTTACCCTCAGACGAACAGACAGTCCGAGCGCACTATTCAGATTCTTGAGGATATGCTCCATGCGTGTGTAATTGAGTTTGGAGGGTCTTGGGATCAGTTCTTGCCATTGGATGGAGTTTGCCTACAACAACCGCTATCAGTCCAACATTCAGATGGCCCCGTATGAGGCTTTATATGGTAGGCAGTGTAGATCCCCAGTGGGTTGGTTTGAGCTGGGTGAGGCTAGATTATTGGGCACAGACTTGGTTCAGGGTGCTTTGGAGAAGGTTAAGGTGATTCAGGATAGACTCCGTACAACCCAGTCC